ACTCATAACGACTCTATAAACAGAAGACCTAATGCCTTTCCATAACTATCGTCATTTCTCCAATATATATATTGAAATGTGTTGTTGTTCTTAAGTGCTGTCGAGTCGTTGGTGACTCATTGCGACGCTATGAATGAAAGTCCTCGACACTTGGGTGATTTGTTTCTCCAGGTTCATAGGGTTTCCAGAGGCAAACTATTATGGAAGTGGATGCCACTCCAGCTTCCAAGCTTGTTTTAATCGGGGAGCTCCATCAAACACTGTCTGCCGTGGGTAGCCATTATCGCATTTGACACATCACTATCACAGCGTTCAGCTTCACAGAAACCACAAGTTACCTCTGCACAGCAAGTGGACACACCAGGGCTATATGATCTAGAAGAATCTTTGACAAAAAAAAAAAGTGAAAAACAGTATTTTACCATTCTGGCACACCCAAACGCTGACAAACTCTGAGCCAGAGACCCCTAATTCATCTATTATGTCCGCTCTGCAGCCACCCACTTAGGGCAAAAAGAAAACCAAAAACGCCTTAGCGTTCCCGACTTGCCTCTCCTTCTTAGCTCCAGAGGCCACGTATATTGACACTTTTGTTTTATATGTATATGTATACACACACACACACACACACACACATAAATGTGTATATACATACATGCACATACACAGATGCTAGCTTCCGGTATTGGGAACACAAATGAACATACAAAGAAAACAAGGAATATATAGATGAATGAATATATATAAACTATGATTTGGGTGTTAGAAACAAAACATTGAACAAAGCAAGTTAGCATCCTTGCTCTCCAGGTGATTCCTCCTGAATCTACTTTGTCTGAAATTTATTAATGCGCAGACACTGATGATGAAATAAGACTGCTACTCAGACATATCTGAATTGATGTTACCAATTTTATCACCTGTTATTCATGTTGCTAGGTGCTGTGAATTGAGTATAATTCATAGCAATCCTATGAACAACAGATCTGAAGCTTGCCCTTTCCTGCATCTCCTAGAAATCTGTCATGCTCAAGTACGCTGTGGCAGTCACTGTGTCAGGCTGTCTCAACGAATGTCTTCAACTTTCCCTAGCATCTCTCTCTAAGGGCTGGTTCCTTATAAAATATGCTCAAAGTGAGTGAGATGAAGTTTCACTATCCTTGCCTCTGAGGAGCTCTGGGGTTGCACTTCCTTCAAGAAAGATTTCTTTGTTCTTTGTGAGTCTGTAGTATATTCAATATATTCATTGTATCCACAGTGCAATGTCATTGATTCTCCTTTGATCTTCCTTGTTTATTCTTCAAATTTCAAATGCATAGGGAGAAATTGATAGTACCATGGCTTGGATCAAGTGCACGTTAGTTATTAAACTGACATCCTTGTTTTTTAGAACTTTGAATAGGTCCTTGACAGCGGATGTGTTTTTATGTCCTGGCCATTGCTACCATCAGTGTTGATTGTAGATGTGAGAAAATGGAATCTCTGACAACTTCACTGTTCGTCCATGATGTTTACCATGATGTTGTCTATCGATTCACTAGTGAGAATTTTTTTTCTCCTTGGTGTTGACATATAATCAATATTGTAGGCCGTAATTTTTATCCATTACAGTGTGCTGAAGTCTTATTCACTCTCTACAACCAAGGTTCTGTCATCTGTATAAAAATCCTCTCTAATCTTGATTTCACATTCTTTATATTGTCCAATTTTTTTGGTAAGTTTTAAGGAAGATCTCAGTAAAGGGAAAGTGGATCAAAATACCTGTCCTTCCAAGTAGATTGATTAGTCATCAAAGGGCAGGGTGTATCCCTTACAGAGTGAAGTTCCCTCAGTCAGATTTGTTTCCTGAGCCATCACTATTATCTCATGTCACAAGTCTACTCTAACTGAGGAGGCCTATGATCACCAATCCTGCCTTACATTCACTGTCAGGTGCAGAGGGAGGATCATTTTAAGAAGATCCGAGGGAAAGAGGCAAAATGGGAATTTTATCAAACTGATTATTTTCTTTACCAGGTCCTGAAAATAAGAAACTTTGGTGACCTAGTTTGTAGGAAGCTCCACTATTAACCCAAAGGCTAAACTTCTTTGGTGCTTAGTACCCATCAATGGCTCCAAGGAAGAAAGGTGGATGATTGCTTATATAATTTATAACTGCAGAAACTCAATAGAGGAATATCTATAAATCTGTTATGATTTGAAGGTGACCAGAAAAGAGAGAGAAAGCACTGAAAGGATGAATCATAGAAGAATAATGGTTTTGGTGGAAAATAGTTATATTTTTTAGGTACCTTTGTCTTCTTATTTTGTATCAATTAGTAAAATTTAGCACCATATTTATAAAAAGAACTTGTTCATAACAAGCATATAAAAAGTACAATGTTCCATTGCTAGTTTATATTTATTATCTGTAGGCACATATTGAGCTACCAATAAAAATTATTTGAGGTATTACAGTTTAAGATCAGATATTTTCAGAAATAGACCTGTATATACTTTCACAGTAAAAAAACAACGACAACAACAACAAAACCCAAAAAACCAAGCTATCTAAATGTTAAGTTGAGAAGCGTATGCTCACCAACACACTGAGGAAGTTGGGTCCACATTCCACGAACACATGTAATTGATTCGTAGCCAATCATGGTAAAGGATTCTCTGCACCTGAACTTCACTGATTCCCCGTGGTGATAGGGACGTTCAAGGGATAAGGTAACACCATTCTCAAGTACAGGTATATCTCCACATACCTTATCTTCCTCTAAGCACATTCCACAAAAACAGGTTTAGTTTTAAAATATTATTTGTCTGTGCATAAGTATTAATGAAAATTGTTCATTCAAGTTTAAATATTACCCTTTTATTTGCTTACCAACACATACAGGCAAAGTTGTCCATTCCCCATCAACACATTGAATTTTCTTAGATCCCTTCAACAGGAATTTGGAATTGCAATCATACTCCACTACTTCACTGTGGACATATTCTTCTTTATTTTCCCCTTTAATTTTCCCACTGGGGAGTTGAGGAGGTGGGTCACACGATGTTACTTTCTCTACATTAGAAATACTTTTTAAATAATACTTACAAAATTTGTTTTCATTTAAAAATTGAGTAAAATGAAGATATCTTTCATATTTCTTTTATCACAACATTTTTAAATATTGAAAAAAGATATTGCTTAGTCATTATTATTTATCAATTCTGTTATCTAAACCAAACTAAAATTCTTGTTGATACAATGGCTAAAAACTTTACTGATAACTGAATGAAAGGTCCATAATTTGAGTTCACTGGTTGTTCTGCAGTAGAACAATTTTACAAAATACTTTTGTAAACATCACAGTCTTGGAAAAATCTATGTAGCAGTTCTATTGTGTTGTATAGGTCGCTGCAAGTTGGAACAGACTCAGCAGTGTTTTTAGGTTGTTGTACTGGTTTTGATACAGAACATCATACGTATATTTTTTCCTATGTGTAGTTTAAACTTTTAAAATGGTGTCCCCAAAGTAGATATCTTAAAGACATGCACAGAATTTAAAATGTAATTTTATAAATTAAAATAACATTCATATACAATGGAAACATCTTAAATTTCTTTCAATGGTTTCATCAGTTTAGAAAACCTATGGATCCACACAATTTAATTTTGTGTAAGCCATACACGTGATTGAATTGACCTTGACCTGTTTGAATGTTATTTAGACAAACACAATGAAGCTTGTGATAAGGCACAACTATATAAAATATTCATTATTAATGATTATAGTGAAGCTCTGGTGGCCTAAGGGCAAGAAGCTGGGCTGCAATCCTGAAGGAACACAGTTCAAGGCCACTAGCTGCCCCTTAGGAGATGGATGGGCAATGATTGTGGCATTATAGATAAAACAAAAACAACAAAATAAATATCTTCAATCACGGATGCCGTTTACTCTTCTGAGAAAATCCTAACACAAATGTCAAGAAAGAGTTGCTGTCTACTATCTAACTATATTCTTCTCAGGTACAGTACGCTAGTTTAATGCATGAGATAATGAGCCATAGTGTAGAATAAAAATACAGAAACAATCTACATAAATGCAAACAAGAAAACAAAGTGTAAATTTTAAAAGATGCAGTTTTTGTTTCAACAATTGTCAGATAAATACTCACCTTTACATTCAGGGGGATTAGGAGACCATCCAAAGTGGTAGCACTGAATTGAATCTGCTCCAACGATTTTCAGATTCCTTCTACAACTAAATTTGAGTACCTCTCCAACTTTATATTTGTCTTTCTTGGGCTGGGCATCTACATTTTGTGGTATAACAGGAACATTACATTCTAGTTCTAAAATATAAAAAAGAGAAAATCAGTTAATATAAATACATAAGCTAGCATTGAAAAAGTAAGCTTTACATGTAAAATTTAAAATAAGATTAGAGGTGCTGTGTACATATAAATTTTCATCTTGAAGAAAAACAAAAGTGACCTTCTGTCTTTTTTAACCTCATCAATTCACTTGGACTTTGTGGGAATTCTTTTACAATTGACAGAAATAAATGTGATTTTAAAATTTATGTGTAAAGAGTAGTTCTTTTTATCTCGTTTATCACTAGTGATTGTAAAATCACAATTAATTCTCTATAAAAATATGAAATCAATCTCTGACATTAAGAGAATAATGCTATACACATTTAATAAACATTGATATATTGACCAATATAATTAACACAATGACATTGAATCAATTCAAATTTATACCAATATTATATGACAGAGATGAATTATTCCATTCGGTTTTTATATGTAGTCTTTACAAAAGTAAACTACCACATCTTGTATCACAGAATGCAGGTGAATTTCTGTATGTTGTCACCAGTCTACACCAAGAAAACTGGAAAATAACTACCTGGACAACTGACTGGAAGTGATCCATATTTCTGTCTTTTAACTAACTGCTTTGGAAATTCTTCTTAAAAGATCAAAGATTAATAAACTCTAGAGTGAAACCTGAGTATAGGAAAAGATGCATGTTTGTTCCCTTCCTAAAAGAGGTGATCCAACAGAATGCAGAAGTTAACAAATACTATTAATAATAACACATTCAAGTTTATGCAAAATAAGATCAAATGCAAGATCATCCGTAAACAATTCGAACAGTAAGTACATTGGCAGAGAACTATCAAAAACTCAAGGTGGATTTAGAATAGTCTATGGCACAAGGAATATTGCTGAAGTGAGATTGTGGCTGAAGAAGAGAATACCATAAGAAACTCCATTTGTGTTTTATTGGCTATGCAAAGGGTGTTTTATTGACTATGCAAAGGTATTTGACTATGTGAATAGTAAAAAAATGATAATTGAGAAGAGTTGTTGCAGTTATGTGCTGTAGAGTCACCTGCGACTCATAGTAACCTTATGTAGAACAGCCCTAAATACACCTACCCACATTACCCCAGTCACTAAACCAACCCATCTCATCAAGGGTCTTCCTTTCCTGCACTGTCCCTCTATCCTTCCAAGCATCATATTCCTCTGCAAGAACTGATTTCACCTTGCAACATGTCCAAAGAATGTAAGATGGAGCTTGAGGAACATTGATTACAAGGAGAAGCCTACTTCACCCTTTCCAGGACAAACCTGTTTGTTCTCCTAGCAGTCTGGTATATTCAATACTCTTCTCCAGCACCACAGCTCAAAGGTATAAATTCTCCTTCTATCATTCCTAGTCATTGTCCAGCTCTCGGATGCATAGCAAGTAATTGCAAAGACCATGGCCTGTATCAGGCACATTTTATTTTCCAGACTGACATTATTGCTTTTCAGTATTTTGGAGAGGTCTCTGACAGCAGACTTTCCCAATGCAATTCATCTTTCGATTTCCTGGCTACTGGTACCAAGAACATTGATTGTGGGGCCAAGCAAACTAAAGCTCTTAATAATTTCAATCTCTTTACCATCCATCACGATGCTGACAATCTTCCTAGTGGTGAAAATCTTTGCTTTCTTGATGTTGAACTTCAATCCATATTGAAGGCTGCATTCCTTGATCTTCTGCAGCAAGTGCTTCAGGTCCTCCTCAGTTTCAGAAAGCAAGGTTGCATCATCTGCATAGTTCAGGATGTTGATAAGTCTGCCTCCAATACTGATGCCACACTTCTCGTCGTAGATCCCAGCCTCCTGAATAATGTGTTCTGCATATAGATTGAAAAGGTATGGAGATAGGACACATCCTTGGTGCATAACATTCCCAAGTTTGAACCATGCAGTGTTTCCTTGCTCTGTTCTGGTGAATGCCTTCTGGTCCAATATATGTTTCACATAAGCACAATTAAGTGTTCTGGAATTACCATTCATCTCAGAGTCAGTCACAGTTTGTTGTGATCCACGCAGTCAAATGCCTTTGCATAGTCAATGAAACAGACATAGACAATCCTCTGGTCCTCTCTGCTTTCAGTCAAAATCCATCGAATATTAGCTATCTCTAGCACTACAGCCTCTCCTAAACAATGCCTGCACTTCAGACAGTTCTATTGATGGGGCGCCGTTATAGTCACTTTTGGATAATCTTCAGCAGAATCTTCCTTGCATGTGATATCAATGGTATTGTTCGATAAATTCTGCACACTCTTGGGTCACCATTCTTTAGAATGGGAACAAATACAGATCTAGTCCAGATGTTGGCCAGGTCTATATCCTCCAAATTTCTTGACACAACCTAGTGAACACATCCAGGGCAGTATCTGTTTGTTGAAACATGCCAATTGGTATATTGTCAATCATGGGACCTTGTTTTTTGCCATTTCCTTCAGAGCCCCTTGAACTTCTTTCTTCCTCACTCTTGCTCATACAATGTTACGTGAAATTTCTCTATATCAGTCAATTCCATCAGGTACTCTGTATTTTTTCAATCTTATTCTAATGATTCTGGTTCACTTAATATTCTATCCAAAGCATCCACAAGTACTGCCACTCAAAGCTTGAATTTGTTCTTTAATTCCTTGAGCTTAAATGCTGAGCGAGTTTAGTTCCTAATTTTCTGACTCCAGTTCCTTGTACATTTCATTGTAATACTTTATCATCTCTCACTGCCCTTTGTAATCTTCTGCGTTCAACTCCTTAATAACTTGATTTTTTCCCTTTGCTTGTGTTTCTCGGTGCTCTAGTGCAATATTCAGAGTATCTTCTAACACCCTTCTAGGCCTTTTCTTCCTCCTCTGTTTTTGCAATGACTTTTTGCAATTTCCTGGGTGATATTCTTTTTTTCCCTATAATTATATTTTATTAATTTTCATAAACATTTACAGAGATTTTGGGTTTCCATTCATTCATTGTTGCACTATTCTCTCTACCCTCCTCCCAGTTTGTTCTTGTCCAAATGCCACAGTGCTTGTCAAAGCCAGTTCTGATTAATCTTCTTTGTCAATGTGTCCTTTGCCATTCCCTATCACTCCTCCCTGAGAGAGACTTCACCCTGAGTCATAAGGAAAAGGGGATGGCGTATTCTCTTAGCTACTTCCTGCTGACAAGGGACGCTGTGGGTTTCAGGGTGAAGATCTTCTCTCACTACTCTAAAGGGCCCCTTTGGCAGTAGGAAACACATAGACTATTATGGAGATTGATTTTGGAATTTAGATGCACTCTTATTGATTGTGCTTGGCCGTACATGTTCATATCCTTGAAGATGTATCATGGGGGTGTTGCAACCTAGAAGACACAAATTTGACTAACAAGTTATAAGTACATGAGTCAAAAATTATGGAAAAGTAAAAGAAAAGGTTCTTTCATTGTTTTACAAACCCTCCCCCAGGTTCCCTCCACCATGTAGCCCTCGCTCTAGTCTCCTGTGATGACAGAAATACCTAGTTATATATCTCTTTTAAACAGTTTTCTCCCTCCTCTGTTTCAGTGCAGTATACATTATTGAACCCATCTTACTCAGTCTCTCCCCAACCCCAAGGACAGTCCCATTCTACAACAGTGGCATCATGTAATATTTGTCCTTTTGTGACTGGGATATTTCATTCAGCATAATGTTCTCCAGAGTCAACCATTTTGAATAATATTGCATGAGTTCCTTGTTTTTTAATGCAGCATAGTATTCCATTGTGTGAATATACCACAGCTTCTCTAGCCATTCATTTGTTGATGGGCACTTAGGTTGTTTCCAACTCCTTGCTATTGATGTACTCTCACAGCTCATCTGGTCTTTGCTCATTAGTGATCAAACCTCAAACCTCTTCCTGAGATGGTTTTGAAATTCAGGCGGTATAGACTCAAGGTCAAATTTTTGTTCCCCTGGACTTGATTTAATGTTCCTCAACTTCAGCTTGACTTGCATATGAGTAGTTGGTGGTCTATCCCACAATCAGCACCTAACCTAGTTCCACAGCTGATACTGAGCTTCTTCAGTGAGTCTTTCCACAGATGTAATCGATCTAATTGCTATGCATACCATCAGGTGAAATCCATGACTATAGCCAGAGTTTATGTTTTTATAAAATGTATTTGCAATTAAAAGGTCATTGTGCAAAATTTTGTCATCTATCTCCAGCTTCATTTCTTTCACAAGTGCATGTTTTCCAACTACTGATCCTTCTCTGTTCCCAACTTTTATATTCCAGTGACCCATTATTATTAATACTTCTTGATTGCATGTTCGATAAATCTCTGACTTCAAAAGTTGGGAGAAATTTTCTAATTTCCACTCTTATGCACTGATTGTTGGTGCATATATTTGGATGAAGGTAATATTCATCATACTTCATTGTTTGCATATGGATATTATCCTGTCACTCACGTTGTATTTCAAGACAGACTAGAAATGACTTTAACTATTAACACAATCCCATTTTCCCTCATCTTTCCATCTCCAGCATAGTAGGTCTTATGATCATCTGACTCAAAATGTCCCATGCCAGTGCATCTCATTTCGCCAATACATAGTATGTCAATATTTGTGTTCCATTTCTCTCTTAAAAATATCCATTTTTCCTACATACATTGTTCTCACATTCCATGTTACAATCAGTAGTGTCTGCTTACAGCTGTTCTTGAGTCTATACCTGAGGACTCAGCCTCATTTGTCATATTTGCGAGTCCAAGTGTGCTCTATTGTGCAGTTTCAAAGACCTGCGATTTCAGAAGTGAATGGCCAATCCTTCTTCCTAGTCTTAATTTGAATTCTCAGATTTTTAAAATAATCTGAGAGATAAGCATTTTATGGCAAAGAGCAGATTAAAGATATTTCCTAATTCTAGAAATAAAGAATAGATACAATGTTGTCCCCGCCCTTGGCCCATGTGTCTTGAATGTGCTCCACCAGCATTCCCTTCTACTCCCACCTACTCCATTCAGCAACTAAGTCCCCTATCCAACTCTTGATTTGATGCCTCATATCTCAATCTTTCCGGGCTTCTGTGATTCTGAATGTCTCAAGCTGCTGCCAGTTTCCTCTGCTGTGGGTAGTATCTCTTCAATTTACGAGTCTTGAACTTCTGATTCAGGATTGACTTCTTATGGCTTAGGGCCTCTTTTCCTCCATTTATGCTATACTGTAGTTACAATGGAATAGTTTCCCAGGGGCGGGTGATGTAGCCTAGAAATTTGTTATATAATATTGTAGAATATGTCTGCTTCATGCTAACACTTTACTGGTGGGCTTTAGTTGAAGCTACACACCTTGTTGCTCATTTTGAAGATATTTTAATGGTGTTTTCTGCCCTACAGGCTTCAAGAGATTGTGAGGCTGAGACCAGTGTGAGTGGATGGCCAAACTTTGAGGATCCATCTACCTTTTTTTCTTAGCTGGCAGTCTTATCTCTGGAACATGGCCTAGGGTTCAGATTCAATAAAGTGCATGGATTTGAGAAGATGATGAAGGATACCAAGAGATTGAGAAGAGTAGGAACACTGAATTGTGCCCATGTGAAAGCTCTATCTAGAGCAAGAAGCTGGTGACCAAAGAGAACAGGGGAACATTGCATCCTTTAAAATCAGGAAAGGTGTAAGTCAGGGATGTATCCTTTCTCTGTATCTATTCCGTCTGTATGCTGAGCAAATAAGTAATGGATCTGGACTCAATGAAAAGAAATGTGGCATTAGGATTGGAATTAATGTTATCAACAACCAGTGTTATGCAGATGAAACAATCTTGCTTGCTGAAAAGAAAGACTGTGGAGAAGATAAAATATAATAATTATCAATATGGATTATATCTCCACATTTGTTGCTGTTGTTGTTACCTGCCATAGAGACCCTATGAACAAAAGGCCTGAAGTCTTTCTATAACTATCGTCATTTAACAAAGTTTATAGAGTTTCAAGAGCTATGCTGTTTAGAAAGTTGATGCCACTCCTGCTCCCAAACCTATCTAAAACAGGGAGCTCCACCAAACACTGTCAAAAGACAAAAATCAAAGAAGTGAAGAAAGAAAAGGATAACAACACAATAATAGTAGGGAACTTTAACACACCACTCTCACAAAGGACAAGAGAACTTGAAACAAAATCAAGAAAGATGCAGAAGAACTAACTATACAATTAGCCACTCGACCTCATAGACGTCACCCAACTAAAACTCAATCTACTTTCTTCTCAACTGCACACAGCACATCCTCCAGGATCAATCATATACTAAGACGACACAAAGCAACCTCAGCAAATTCAAAAATACTGATAAAATATAACATACTTTCTCAGACCACAATGTCATAAGACTAGTTATTAATAAGAAGAGGATAATGGATATCTTACAGCTCTGGAAAACTGATAGCTGTTTGATAACATCTAAAAGGTTTTCAGAATAGTCCAGAGACTGTGGTATTTAAAATGGAAGGACACAGGACAGGAGTTCAAGATATTACTTCTAAAGTTTGTAAAGATGGATAAAAAAATGCAATAGTGAAAGAGCTGAAGAGTGTATGAGTAATAGTAAGTTGGTAAGAGGTGTTTAATGTTAAGTAATTTTTAAATGTACTTTAAAGCAATGCATACATTAGTGGAAAATCTGTAATGTGTGTAACATAGGAGATATTGCTTTGCCGTGTTTCTTAAAAACTGGTTATTATCTTTCAGTTTAAAAAAAAAACAACCCCTTTCCAGTGAACATTAAATCAGAGAAGGCGGCACTGATTTTAATCATTATTCTTTAACAATATCTCTAGATAATTAAAACATACCCGAAAAGGAACATAAAGTGTTTCTATCATTCCAGAGAGCTTATTACCAAAAGAAAACAGGGCAGAACTTACCATAACATGTAGGTGTATCAGACCAACCATCAGAACCGCACACTATAGAGCCTGTGGTATTTCCACCTCTGTTTTCATAGCCATCACTGCATTCATATTCCAGTTTGTCATTGAGCTTATACCATGTGGCATTACTTTTGGCTCTGGCATTTTCAAACACTGGTTTACCACAAGATTCTAATGCACAATAAAATTGAAGATTTTATTTCATATTATTCTGTTTGCAACCTATCTAGGTAAAATCACCCCAGCAACAAAAATCCTTTCCATTATTCATGTTCTTATATTTATTTACCTTTGAAAAATAATATATAACCAAGTATTGTAAAAATTATAACCATCTGAAATAAATTCTATTAAACATATTTTTCAACTCTAAATTATGAGCTACTCAAATGCTGATAGCAGAAGTCATTGTTGTTGTTGTGTACCATTGAGTCACTTGCGACACATAGCGACCCTATGTACAACAGCCCTAAATGCCGTTCTAACTTGTGCCAACTTCACTGTCTCAAACACACTCATTCCTACCACTCCACTCACAGAATCGATCCATCTCATTGAAGGTCTTCCTCTCCTGTGCTGTCCCTCCACTCTCCAAAATATGATGTCCCTCTCCAAGGCCCGTCCCTCCTTGCAACATGCCCAAAGTATGTCAGACAAAGCTTCAGAATCCTTAACTCCAAGGAGCATTCTGGCTTCAACCTCTCCAGGACAAACCTGTTTGTCTTCCTAGCAGTCCATGGTATATTCAACACTCTTCTCCAGCACCACAGCTCAAAGGCATCAATTCTCTTTCTATCATCCCTATTCATTGTCCTACTCTCTGATGCATAGCAAGTAATTGCAAAGACTATAGACTGGATCAGGTGCACCTTAGTCTCCAGCCTGACATCATTGCTCTTCAGTACTCCTGAGAGTTCCCTCACAGCTGACTTTCCCAATGCAACTTGTCTCCTGATTTTCTGGCTGCTGTTACCAAGAGTGTTGACTGTGGAACTAAGTAAACTAAAACTGTTAACTGTCTCAATATCTTCACCATCCATACTGATGCTGCCAATTGGCCCAGTGGTGAGAATATTTGTTTTCTTGATGTTGAGCTTCAATCCATATTGAAGGCTGCAGTCCTTGACCTTCTGCAGCAAGCACTTCATGTCCTTCTCAGTTTCAGCAAGCAGGGTTGTGTCACCCGCATAACACAGGTTGTTGATGATTCTTCCATCAATCCTGATGTCACATCCCTCCTCATACAGCCCAGCGTCTCGGATGATCTGTTCTGCATACAGATTGAAGAGGTATGGTGACAAAATACATCCCTGATGTACCCCTTCCTTGATTTTCAACCATCCAGTGTCTCCCTGCTCTGTTCTGATGACTGACTCTTTGTCCAAGCACAGGTTTCCATTAGCCCAATCAAATGTTCTGGGATTCCCATTTTCTCAGAGTCAGCCATAGCTTGTTGTGATCCACACAGTCAAAATCCTTTGCATAGTTAATGAAGCACAGATAGACACTCTTCTGGTATTCTCTGCTTTCTGCCAAGGTCCACCTAACATTAACTATAATATCCCTAGTATCACAACCTCTTCTAATCCAGCCTGCACATCTGGCAGTTCTCTGTTGACATATTGCTCCAATCATTTTTGTATAATTTTTCAGCAGAATCTTGCTCGCATGTGATATCAATGATATTGTTTGTTGATTTCCACACTCTGTTGGGTCACCTTTCTTTGGAATGGGAACAAATATCGATCTCTTCCAGTCAGTTGGCCAGCTGGCCAGCTGTCCTCCAGATTTCCTGGCACAACTTAGTGAGTACATCCAGGGCAGTGTCTGTTAAAATAAATCATTTGGTATGCTGTGAACTCCTGGAGCCTTGTTTTTTTGCCAATTCCTTCAGAGCAACCTGAACTTTCTCCTTCACCACCGTAGGCTCTTGCTCATACGTTATTTCATGAAATTCCTCTGTATCAGCCAATTCCTTCTGATACAGTGACTTTGTGTACTCCTGCCATCTTCTTTTGATATTTCCTGGAACATTTAACATTCTACCCAAACTATCTTTAAGTATTGCCATCGGTGGCTTGAATTTGTTTTTCAACTCCTTTGGCTTAAAAAAACGCTGCGCGAGTCCAGCCCTTTTGATTTTCTGACTCCAGCTCTCTGCACATTTCATTATAGTATCTTGCTTTGTTGTCCCCAGCTGTCTTTTGAAATTTTCTGTTCAGCTCTTTGATTTCTTCATTTCTTCCTTTAGCTTTGGTTTCTTGATGCCATAATGCAATACTCAGAGTCTCATCTGACATTCATCTTGGTCTTTTTTCTTCTTCAGACTTTGTAATGTCCTTTTGCATTCTTCATGGACAATTTTCTTCATATCCTACCAGAGCTCATTTGGTCTACACTCATTGGTGCTCAAGGTCTCAAACCTGTTGCTGAGATGGTTTTGAAATTTGAGTGGGATGGACTTAAGGTCAAATCTTGGTTCCCGTGGACTTGATTTAATTTTCCTCAACTTCAGCTTGAACTTGCATATGAGTAGTTGGTCGCCTGTCCCACAAAAAGCACCCGGCCTGGTTTTCACTGCTGATGTTGTGCTTCTCCAGCGAGTCTTTCCACGAAAGTAATTGATTTGATTCCTATGCATGCCATCAGGTGAGATCCATGTGCATAGCCTATGTTTATATTTCTTGAAGGAGTCATTAGAGGTGTATAATTCTTTTGAAAAAACCACAATGATAATTCAAGTTTAAAATTTAATATGACTACCTTATTATCAGATAAGATACATATCCTAGGCAAAATATTAACTGACTAAAGATCTGTATAATACGTGTGTATTGTTGTTGTTATGTGCCATCAAGTCGCCTGAAACTCATAGTGACTTTATGTACTACAGCCCTATAACCTGCTCTATCCTGTGCCAATTTTATTGTCTCTGACCGACTCATCCCCATTACCCAAGTGACTGAATCCATCCATCTCATTGAGGGTCTTTCTTTCCTGCACTCTCCATCAACCCTCCCTCTCCATAGATTGATCCCGCCTTGCAATATGTCCATAGTATGTCAAATGAAGATTCAGAATCCTTACCTCCAAGGAGTAGCCTGGTTTCACCCTCTCCAGAACCAACTTGTTTCTTCTCATAACAGTCCATGGTATATCCATACACTAATCCAGCACCACAACTCAAAGGCATCAATTCTCCTTCTATCATCCCCAGTCATTGTCCAGCTCTCTGACTCATAGCAAGTAATTAGAAAGACCATAACCTGTATCAGGCATACCTCAGTCTCCCGACTGACATTGTTGTTTTTCAGTACTTTGGAGAGGTCTCTGACAGCAAACTTTCTCAATTCGTCTTTTAATTTCTTGGCAGCTGGTATCAAAAGTGTTGGTTGTAGAGCCAAGCAAACTGAAACTGTCTGTCATCAATCTCAATAGGCTCATTGTTGAGAATCTTTTTCTTCTTGATGTTGAAATTCAATCCATATTGAAGGCTGCATTCCTTGACTTATGCAGCAAGTGCTTCAGGTCCTCCTCAGTTTAAGCAAGTAGGACTGTGACATCTCCATAATGCATATTTGTTGATACGTATACCTCCGATTCTGATGCCACCCTTCTCTTCATAGATCCCAGCCTCCTGGATAATGTCTTCTGTATATAGATTGAAAAGATATGGAGATATGACACATCCTTGGCACACACCTTTCCCAAGATTGGACCATGCAATGTTTCCTTGTTCTGTACTGATGAGTGCTTCCTGGTGAAGTATAAGTTTTGCATAAGTACAATCAAATGTTGTGGAATTCCAATTCTTCTCAGAATCAACCACAGTTTGTCATGATCCACACAGTCAATTGCCTTTTCATAGTCAATGAAACACAGATAGACATTCCTCTGGTATTCTCTGCTTTCAGCCAAGACCCATCTGACATTCACTATACTATCTCTAATTCCACACTCTCTTCTAAATCCAGCCTGCGCTTCAGGAAGCTCTCTGTTTATTTGCTGTTCCAGTCGTTTTTTGATAATCTTCAACAGAATCGTGCTTGCATGTGATAATAATATTGTTTTATAATTTCCACACTCTGACATATCTCATTTCTTTGGAATGGAAGCAAATACCGATATCTTCCAGTCAGTTGGACAAGTGGTTATCCTCCAGATTTCTTGGCACAACCTGGTGAGCACATCCAGGGCAGTGTGTGTTTTTTGAAATATGTCAGTTGTTGTGCCATCAATTTGTAGGGCCTTGCTTTTTTATATATAACATATTTTCTTCTTTTTTAAATTTTTTATTTTATTACCTCAAAATGTTTGTTGATATTTTCCAAAAAGAAGAAGAATTCCTAAGTAGACCTCCTGTACAACATCAATTAAACAAAATATGGAGGCCAATTTCCTCAGTATTCTAAGTTAAGGGCTCATGTACTGAATATAAAGCTCATAACTATGTCTGTGAGGAAAGACACCACCCCCAGGCACAACAGATATGAGTGTTTCAGCTGCAAAGACTTTTACACCTGAAAACATGTGAAATTCTCTAACCAGTTTCTAACACACATGTAGAGGAGGGGGAAATGCCTCTAAAGGGTTCAAATCCAAGTGCTGCTTAATGAGGGAAAGATAGTTAATCTCCTTCTATGCAATTATAGTTTTTGAAAATCTGCAAGAGGATCCCCTATGAGTCTATTCTGATTTGACAGTGCATAACAATAATATATGTACATTTTCTGCACTATTTATACCATTTCTACATTATATATAAAATTTCTCTGTATATAGAATTTCTACTATAATTTCCATATTAAATAGATTTTTCTACTTTATATATCACTCTTACATTATACAATTCCATTTTTACATACAATTTTTAATTCTATATTATTTCTCTATTAAATATATGATCTTTACATTTTTATGCAATTTCTATGTTTTCATGGTTTCTATATTCTATTTATACTATACATAATAACTTTTTTATATATTTCTGAGGTGGTTGTTGTTTTATACCATCAAGTTGCAATTGACCCGAAGCTAACCCTTCATATTTTTCAGTGGCAGTTAATTGCATGAGAGGCAACTGCCCATCTTCTCCCATGGAGCAGCTGGTTAATTTGAACTGTATGCCTTTGGAATTGTAGTGCAGCTTCTTGCCACTAGGTCAGCAAAGC